AACCTTGAATTGGGAAGTTTTTCGAAGCTCAGAACAATGGACTCCTACCCCCAATCCCGATCCTACATCCCCGTTCTTCCAGAACATGCTCCTGGAGTGCGTATCTCCTTAAAAACCAATAATATCCAGAACTCCGATTGCCTCTTGTCTTCTTGACTCCGTCTCGACGCCGGCTTCCGGTGGATAAAGAAGGAGATAGGGCTGTAGACGCAGCGGAAATCTACTATCACTTAAAACGAATCCACGCATAATTCACCGTCCCTACGCCATCCTGCTGTGGACCACACGGTGAACCTCGTCAAAATCGACGGTCGAACCGTCTGTGGTGTTGATGGTGGTGGTTGTCTGAGTTAGAGGATTAATCGTGAGCCTCTTTGAATGTGCACAAGCTCACAAAAAATCTCCAATCAAACGGAAACCAACCAGATGCATCGACCCAAATCAGAATTTTTAAAGATGAGAAAAGTGCACTTTTTCTTAAAATGCTGCTCTTTCTGACATTCTGTCATCTTCTTCGGTTGCTTTACGCTTTACCATCATACCCCACCCGCAAAACACCTAGTACTAGCGTGCCCTATCACATTAACCTAATTATCCGGTTTATTCCTCAAATCAGTTCAACAAACAAAATTAACAACCTCAAATAGGTTCTAAACTGCCCCGTCAAATCTCCGTCTTGCCACCTCATGGGCTTGCTAATCTGCTGCAGGTGAAACACACCATCATTGAACTTTGCAAAGAGAATAAGTTGGAGCCTACCAAGTTCACCATCCTGAAGATAATTCAGCTCTTTGAGACCCAGAGCTCTCGACACTCGGTCATGATTGTGGGCAAGACGCTCTCGGCAAAGTCCACCACCTGGCGCATCCTGCAGAAGGTGCAGGCTAAACTGGCTGCCGACAAAGAACCCGGTTTCCTTCGCGTCTTTGACTACCCCCTAAACCCAAAGTCAGTGTCTCTGGGCGAACTCTACGGGGAATTCAATATCGCCAGCAACGAGTGGACGGACGGTGTGCTCTCCAGTATCATGAGGACGGCCTGCGCTGGTGAGTCCCCACGTCTTCTTTTCGTTCACCAGAAAATAACTTCACTGGCGATTTCAGAACGGATTAACAAAGTAGCGAAGCCTATT